TCGTTAAAACCTTGCCATGAAAAACCCAGTGGGACAAAAACCTGGCCGAAGGAAAAAAGTACAGTGTGTGAAGGTCTTTATTGACAGCACGCTCCCCCTGATGCTTGGCAAAATATCTTAAAGCCATACAGTTGATCATATTTCTGAATATCATAGTTGACACTGCTTCTGTGAATCAATCTTGTAATATTGTTGGATGCTCCCCCTGAAGAATATCTCCCCCTGAAATCTTCATGACTAACTTTTTCCAATAAGCGCCCATAGAAATTTCCAGTGTCTGTGTATCCAACAAAATCTGGGCTATTTGTAAGTTTACTTGAAAAAAATATACCCGTATATGGTGTTATGCGGAGATAGCATCAAATATGCCTCACATCATCCCAAAGTGGTGGTGATGGAGTTGAGCTCTATCTGGAAAATATAATATCGGGTCTAGTATACTTTCGGAAAATTATTTAAGTGCCTAACGGATAATCCACATAAAAATACTTCAATATCTTCTTAGTATAAGCAAGAATCTCGCTGGCATAATGTTCGATCTTCAGGCCGAGACAAGTGTTTCTTGAACTCTTCTAGAGTTTTAATGTGTTGCAAACATATTATAATTAATGTACTCACTGAGGCAATTTATGCATATTAGTATTGAGTACAGATTTTGTGCTTCAGGCACATGTCCTTTAGGGACTTGCTTCATGCTATTACAATCCTTTAAGGGATTTTGTTTAATGGATTAAACTTTATGACACATTATATAGCTTTAACCCAACTATTTGTTCTGTTTGTACATCTTTAGGGAATCGCTTATGGTGATATGCTCTGTTCATTTAATAACCCTTAAAAATAATATGTTGGTCTCTGTAAATGTGTAATAAGGAGGCACAATTGCATCTGTAAATATGGAGAAACCCAACATTTCTTGTTTCTGCCAGAAACATTATGTTATACAAAGTGGGTATATTCCTTTTTATTCCAAACACCCAACTATAAATTTCAGTATTAACATCTTTTAGGGTTCGTATTGTGGATTTTGACAGGACCCACCCTGGACTCCTCGGAATCCGGGACGAATCCCGTAAAAGTTCTGGCATCAAACCGATGCTGGGCCCAATTACTAAATACCGAGACTTTCTACCAAAATTTCAGCAGAGTCTCCCCTGAAAATTGAACTTTTTCCAAATTTTCAACTTATTAAAAACACATATATATCCATATCCCAACAGGTAGCATGCTTCATATGCAATTAAACAGTTTACAACAAAGGCCTCTGGCCTCACAAATCACACCCTAGCACGAGTGATAACAGAGCAAATCTAAGTATTTCGATTACAACAAAACAAAGTTCAACGGAAATAAAATGAAGAAAAGAATCCTACTGAGGCTCAGAGTTCATAAGTGGAAATCTCAACTCAGTCGTACGATTCGAATAACGCTACTGCCTGAGGGGTGCAAAACAAAAAGGTGTGAGTGGACAAAAACAAAGTTCATTTCACATTTGAAATCAACATAGTATAACCTCACAGTTTAGAAAACAATGCTGAAAACCAAAGCATTCAAAACCAACATAATCATCAATACCACATATACATAAATGTATAAAATTTGGTCAAAAACCAACTAAATCCGAAATCCCACAATGAAACTTTAATACTCAACCCATCCAAACTTTTCCTTATAATGCCTAAACTAAACTCCCGAAACACGTGCCCGTTGGCATGACAAGCGAGAAAGTATCCTCACCGAGAAACAATATGAATGAATAATTATATATATATATATGTGTATATATGTATAATATAAGAGATATATATGGTTACATATGACAACCCCTAGTTTGTACCGGGGAAACAATCCAACCGGGGATTGTTTGACTAGTCCAAGAATCCTTAATTGATCATGTGGCTAGGGAACGAGCTTTTCAACTGGGGGACTAACTCTCAACCAATATGTACAGTCGAATCCTCAAGACTCGTACGCCTGTGACAAGTCCTACGAGCGCTGACTACCCAGCTAAGGGTCTACGAAACATCCCGTCAAGTGTGCCCAGGTCCCGACATTTCCAAGTATCCCAAGTTTCCATATCCAAATTTCCAAATCTAGGGAGGTACATAGGGTAGTGCTTATAGCACTTCAAACTAACATTCTAATCTCATTTCTATCCACAACCTCACATCAACAACCCAAGTACCCCACACATAGCCAAACATAGATAGAAATTCTTAAGATCCATGTATATATATCCATTAGGGAAAAACTTATATTTTTTTAAAAGACATATTATTTTTATTCAATAATATGTTAGAATTATGTGTATAATACGTGAATTTTTTGTCTTATTGAAATTTTTGTAAAAAATAAGTGTACTAAACATGAGAAATATGTGCGTACGTGTATAATACATTATTAAACGTGAGAGTGCTAAAATCTTTATACGAGTAATAACTTTGGAAAAGTAAACATTCAAAAAGGGACAATAGATACTCGATTAATGGCCTAATAATAACGGATAGGGTCTTGGGCTATGGAGAAATTTAATTAAGACACCCAAATGATTTCACAAAAGACTTAATAAATATAAATTAATTATTTGGTGGACTTTATCTTTAATTTTGCATATTAATAATAATTAAAATATAAGCACTAATTAAAGTAATTCAAAAAGGCTAAGATATTGCTCAATTACATATGTTTTATTAAAGAAGAAGGCCAAAAAACAAAACAGAATAAACTAATTCTTTTATATTTAAAAATGGAAAAAAAAAAACCTGTCCTAGATTAAACCGCGGGGCTATACTATTTATATATTAAGAAAAGGACGCGCACAAAGCATAGTTGCCACGTGTCAAAACAGTAAAGCCGGGTGGCTATACTGTTTGAACAAAATTGGGAAAAAGGAGTATAGCCGGGCGGCTATACTATTTCTTAAAGAAAATTCAGGAAGAATCTAGGATAGCCGGCCGGCTATACTCTTTATACACCCGCCCATAGCCTATGCGCCACGTGTCAAATTTGTACAGCCGGGTGGCTGCACTATTTATATTTAAAAACTTTTAAAAAACGCGTATAGCCGCACGGCTATACTATTAAAAAACAATTAGGGAAAAACTGAAATTTTTTTAAATACGTATTATTTTTATTCAGTAATATGTTATAATTATGTGTATAATACGTGAATTTTTTGTCTTATTGAAATTTTTGTAAAAAATAAGTGTACTAAACATGAGAAATACGTGCGTACGTGTATAATACATTATTAAAAGTGAAATGGATTCTCAGATATCTCCGGGGTACCTCCAAAATGAGTTTATGCTTTGGAGGTGGAAAACCTGAATTGATTGGCTACACAGATGCAGACATGGCAGGAGATCTTGATTCTAGAAAATCTACTTCAGGATACCTGATTACATTTTCAGGGGGAGCAGTTTCATGGCAATCAAAGTTGCATAAATGTGTTGCTCTATCAACTACAGAGGCAGAGTTTATTGCAGCTACTGAAGCGTGCAAAGAAATGTTCTGGATGAAGCGATTCCTACAAAAATTAGGACAAGAACAGCATAAATACATTTTGTATTGTGATAGTCAGAGTGCGATCCACTTGGGCAAGAATCCGAGTTTTCACTCGAGGTCGAAGCACATTGATGTGCGATATCACTGGATACGTGATGTATTGGAGTCTAAGTAATTACAGCTTGAGAAAATCCATACTGATGACAATAGTTCAGATATGATGACCAAGTCCTTACCTAAGGACAAGTTCGAATTTTGCAGAGGAGCAGCTGGACTGGTGGAGCCCTCCACCTAAGTCGGTAGGGGGAGATTGATGGGTTTCCCTCGTTAGTGGAGGAGAGAAAAAGAAGGAAATAAATATTAAAATAAAATGAAAGCAAGGACGGGAAAATTTGAAGAAAATGAATGGAAGAGAAAATGAGAAGAATTCTCTTTCATGCACGACCACTAATTAGTTAGGAACGTTTGCCTATAAAAGCAATTGCATTCTTTCAGTTAAATCCATCCCTTAGAAAACCAAAACATAGAGAGTTTTGAGATATAAGAAAACCTCACTTGTGTGAGAGAGAAAATCCTCTTGAGAGAAAAACCAAGAGAGAGTTTAGCCACCGGTGTTTGGTGATATTATTATTGTATTCCCATTATTTTTTCTTAGTGGAAGATAGAGTGTTAATTTTGCCCATTTTATTTACACAAGGCTGGGAGAAGTCAGATCATGGAAGTGCCATATTTATTTATTGGCTCTTTGATTATTCGCCATCTTTCCCAACACCATGTTTGTTTCGTCTGTCACAATGGTTGTGATGTTATCTTGCCACGACTTCAAGAGGTCAGATAATAATCAAAAGTGGCCTGCCTCAGCTGTGGCTGTAAATGAAAGTGCATTATTAATTTCTTGAGCCTCAAGTTTGTAGAATTGGATCAAATTTCATTGATCATAAATGCATTAACTTCAATAACTTCACTAACTTGAACAGCAACCTGAATTTTTCCTCCTGCGGATGGGGAAAAAAGAGAGGGTTCCAAACGTAAATAAACATCCGATGTTCTTCAGGTTCTACTTTCTTTTTTGGGTTTAATCTCAAGGTTACATGAAGTCCTGGAATTGAAAAACTTGAGGTAAAATTTCAATTTAGAAACCAAAATTTTGACCATAGACTGGAAAAAAGAAGAAGTTAATCTTCTAATTTCTAGCCTTTGAAACTCTATTACATTCGTTTTTTGATTCAAATTACCTTTCTCTAGGGTACCTACTATCCAACAACTCCAAATTAACATGCATACGTAATTTGACATTAAAAAATTTGGTGCTTCCAATCCAACTCATTGAGAAAACAGACTCAAGAAGGAAGAAGGAAGATGAGAGAGAAGTATAGAGCAATTGAACTGACCAAGATGATTTTGGTCTCTGTATTACAGCCGTATATATCATGTACAGGAGGTAGACTTTCTCGAGTCTATTTACAGAAAATAAGCAATACAAGGTAAGTAGCATTAATCTTATACATGTCAGAATAAACTACAAATCAATCTTTAGCTATAATATATTGCTGATCTTGTGATATCGAGTCTGTCAATACAGATATTGGGGAATCGACTGATTTCATGGGATTAGCTGTGGTGGTATTCTCTTTAGTTTCAATTGTTTCTTCATGCTGATGAATGTTCACAGCCACCTCTGTGATTCTCTGACCAACCTCTTTAACCAGCTGCCTTCCCGGAAGCTGGTAGTCATGAAAAGGTCTGGTGTTTGTGTCCATGTAATGGAGGAATATGACCAAAACCAAGGAGGACATAAACATTGGTATTGGACCAAAAAACCACAGAAGCAGAGTTAGAGCAAAATAGAGTGCTCTAAGCCCAAGTGACCAGAAATCACCTCCTCTTATAACTGCCAGCTCCACGTACGAAGCCGGAATATTACGGTCTGGTGTGCTTATCAGATAGTTTGCATGAACAAAGTGCCTTGCTGATTGAACAAAGCATGCAAAGGCTAGAAGAAGACAAGTTAAGAGGCTTATGTACTTGATGGTAAGGATTGAGGGGCTCACGTTGCCGTAGATTAATTCGCTCGTAAAGACTTCATGGCTGGAACTACTTCCAAGCCAGGTTCCAATGAGAGAACTGAGACTTAAGGAGACGGAACACAAAAAAGTTACTGCTGATATGTTGGATGAAATCACACTGAGGACTGTGCCAATATCTCTTTTATCATCCTGCATAATTCTTTCAACCCAAGCTCTTTTGTCATTGTTCTCAAAGCCAATGGTTGTGGTCTGAGGGAGATGAAGATATCTGTAGAGAAGGATGATGTGATAGAGAAACATGATTAGCAATCCACTTGGGACCAACACCAAATCAAGGTCCTCCTTTCCAAAAGCCATAACTTTCCTTGCTGGTTTGCTAACTGATAAAAGAATGAAGATGGGAGATCTAATTTGTTACTGGATTTTTACGGTTAGGTGAAATTCCAACTGTTAGTTCACAGATTGTAGACAACTGGTACTATCCAATCAATATAATATTTCAATTTAGAGTCTTTTTTGGTTACTTATAGCAAACTAAAACCTAGAAATAATAGGATAAAAATCTCTGGCTAATTCTAACCCAAATAAAATAGGAAACTTAAAACTAGAAATATAGAAATCTGGGAAAGAAGAAATCCTACTAGTAATTGGAAAACTAGAGAATCTAGGAAACAAACAAATACATTAAAAAACTAATAAATTTAGGTCCTACGAATCTTGCATGTTAATATGCAAAAATGTTAATATTAATTCTTTTGATTCAAACCCCGTAAGAGTAGGAAAGTTTTCTGCAACAAAAAGAGGAATCGATACTCGGGCAATAAGAAACTTTTAGATTAACAAATTTATAGTTAAGAAACTGAATCCAGTGTTTCATATGATTTGTTGGACGCCAAAAGATCTAGTTCTTGTATCTTTCAACATCAAACGTAAAGAAGACTGAAGGCGAACGAACGGTTTGTCATGTAAAGAGTTATGAGTAAATGGAGTTTCAAATAACAACTGAGAATTGTATCTTGTATTCCTTATCAGAACAATGCAGACCAATTTATGGTTTTCAATTGTAGAGATAGACTGGATAATATGCCTTTCAAGTATTGGCATTTGGCAAGTACATCAAATTTCAGTTTGGAACCCTTGAGGACCGTAGTTTCAGCTTCCTCCAAGCCAGGTTGAACGCCTTCAATTCAGAGCTCCGGCTCACTTGAATGTCTTATTCCTTAGCCCGGATTCTTTTCAATTTCACCTGAAGCTTCAAGATTTGAAGTTCCGTATCACGGGCTTTGATCCTGAGTTGTTTGAGCTCGAAATTTTGAGAACTACATTGAGACCTGTGTTTAGCAAGGTCTATGGAGGCATTTTGACAACCATTTTTTCAAAACGAGTATTGCCGCACATCTATACTATTTTTAAATAACAAATGGGGGAAAAACTGAGATTTTTTTAAATACATATTATTTTTATTCAATAATATATTAGAATTATGTATATAATACGTGAATTTTGTGTCTTATTGAAATTTTTGTAAAAAATAAATGTGCTAAATATGAGAAATATGTGCGTACGTATATATAACTCAAGATACTCAAATGTGCCAAAACCCAAATATATATTACAAATGCTTAATAAAAGCATTAAGTTAAACAATTGAATATATAATATATTCAATAAATCATTAAAACAATATGCATAAATTTTCCACCATAAAACTATGCTTATCATTTGAAAACAAAGTCCACTCATAAGTAGTCCCACGCTGCTTGACCCTGAGATGGTCCCGCCTACTGCGTGTAAGTAACCGGAGCACCTATTTCATAATACGAGTTACGAAATTAATATAAAACATCTCGAATGAAAACTTTTAAATTAAAATCCTAGTTTCCCAGGTTTTAAGGGAGTGCATGAGGAATGAGACGTTCCTAAAGTCCAACTACATGTTTTGAATGAAGAGATAGCCTCAGAAGACGCTCGGTCAACCAGGCGGTCAAACTTTCTAAATTGGGTCATTCGGGCCCACAGGACCCACGGCCTCCGATTTCTGATCCAGAAGTTCCTATGGGTTCCACAAGGTTTAGAAAACATGTCCTGCAAGTTTGGTTCGAAACGAACGGTCGGATCACTCGTGATCATACGATCGGACGGTTATCGTTTAATGTAAATTTTAAGTTATTGAATCGGAACATCCAGGGCTCTGATTCACGATCCGCGAATTCCTACATGATCCTAGGGATGCATATATCAACATATATTGAAATTAAGTCGATCCAACGGTCCAGACATGTTGAACCTGGATAACGCCTAATATGCGATATCTAATAGACGACCAAACGATAACCAAATTGAAATATGAGCATACCGTCGTGCTCAGAACAACATGAGGATTATTTTAGGACTCTAAGATCGGCCAAAAAGTGGCCCATGCGCCTCCCCACGCACTGGCAGAGTGTGGGTGCCCAAATCAATTTTCGGCGATTGGAAAAACTCCAAACTGACGGTCAAGACTTATATAGATTGGTTGGATCCCAATTGATCCCCTTCCAATGGCTAAGTTAGAGGTGGTTTTAGAGTGGGGCGAAGGATGGAGAGTTTCAAGATGAGAATATTTATTACCTTTGTCCTAATACAGGTGAGGGGTATTTATAGGGGGAGAAAGAGAGATCAGATCTCCTCAAATCTTGCGAGAAAGGAGATCTTTATCTTTAACCCTTCCCAATGGTGGGATTAGAGAGCAATCATGGGCGCCTATCACTATGCTGGTTTCTAGGGATCTAGTAGTAAGGTGACACTTGGCTTGGATGTGAAGCGCATTGAATGATCCCTCTCCATCATCATGCTAGTTACTAGGGATCAAGTAGCAAGGCGACACCTAACTTGGATGTGAAGCGCATTAAATGATTCATCTCCATCACCATACTGGCATTAGGTGTGTGACGTAACTGACTTGACAGGGCTCTGGTCGTGTCATAATATCAATGCCTCTAGCTCTAGTCATATGACATCTCCGTGGTCGGGTTGGTGTATGAGTGCCCGACCACTGGTTCGCAAGGTATCTCATGACAGGCTTGGCTAGGAGGCGTTTTATCGACACCTGGGGTGGTCAACCTGGTCAGATTGGTAAAAGGACAATCTTGTCTTTTGTGGCCCCATGATGCTTTCTGATAGGCTAGGCTTATAGTGATGATATGAACCATTAACACGTAACAATGAAATAAGATTGTTTGTTTTCTTTCTCATGGTTTCATTAGTGAATTAAAGTTTATTGTCATATTGAATATGCCATTTGACCGTGACTGATTACAACTTGTTGATTGTTATATGTGGAAGTAATATTCTTCTATTTTTTAGTGTTATTTTCTTCTTAAATTTGTTTTTTGACAGTTTTACACTATGACCTTATGAGGTCACAATCCTACGTTAGCCACTGATTCCAGGAATACGAACAAGAAGTAGGGAAGACTTCGGTAACTACTTAGACCATGCATTACTTAATTGGATTAACAATAGTTACAAGGCATTTCTCTCCATCTGGCTAAGCTTGGTCAGCATTTGTCTTCCGAATGTCCTTACTTTCTTCATCTCTATTTTTCACTCATATGAAGGGTTTTCTTTTTTACATATGCTGCCTGGATTTGGTTCTTTCTTTCTAGATACATACTACATATATATTTTGAGGCTTTGTGATTGTTTGGTTGTTGTACTTTATTCTAATTAGTGTTTATGTTTTATTTTTGTAAATGTAGATCCAGTTTGCTGCATGAGGCTTCCAAAGAAGATAGTAGCTGAAAGGATTTCATCATCTTAATTTCATTGTCATGACTTTTTTTCTTTTTTTTTTTCAATGGTTGCAATACTGGCTTCAATTATTATGTTTTGGTGTAACTAGCTTTGTTTTAAATAAAGACATATTCAATTTCATATGTTCGAAATTCGGTTCAAAAAATTGTTATGAATAAATAAAATTAGTTTAGGGATTGATAATAAAATAATAATTTGTTATAAATACATAAACTGTGAATGACCACCATTACATCCATTATCTCCACCTTTTGATATATTGTAACCTATGTAATTAGTAGCCTTTAACTCATAATTTGTGGGTTAGCTTCTTATCATTGTAAGCCTATAAATAGGTGATTATCAAAGAAGAAGATGACAAGTTTTAGAGACTAATAAATCTTGTCTTCCTGTACTCCTCATTGCTCTCTACAAATTCTCTTAGTTATATAATATGTTATCAGCACGAGTCTTAAACACTTGAGATATCACAGTTTTGTCTCAGTATGAAAGCTTTTGTTACATAGGCTTATCAAATGAAAAGAAGTGCATAAGCAAAAAGAAGTTGAATGACAAGATTCCAAACATATAAGAATTGTTTTATTATATTTCTCATTTGCATATGCAGTGTATGAATTTTGACAAATATGCATTTTTACTATATATATATATATATATATATATCTATCTTGTCTATCTACTTATAAGATTTCAAAACTGTATTTTGTTATTTGTCAAAAATCCAAGATTTTCATTAAGGAGCAAAGTGAGAGACTCAAGAATTTCTAATCTTACACAACTAATCGAGGACCAGAAGTTCCTTAGTTCTTATTCAATCCTTAGATGTAATTTAAATATTTGTGGACTCGAAGTTCCCTAATTCTTAAAAGGCAAATGAAGACCTGAAGCTCTTTGATTCATTTTTCATTGGAATCAGAAGTTTCAACAATTTATTTTATTTTATTTTATTTTTACTTAGTTTTTTTCTTTGGTTTCATTTTTATTTTATGCAAGGACCCGAAAGTCCCTAAATTATTCTTATTTAATTAAATAAGGACCTGAAGTCTCTTAGTTCTGAATCCATATAAAAGAGTAATGATGTACTTACCACATTTTTATCCCACATTTCTATACAACATGATGTGGCATGTCCATATTATATACCACATCAATTGAATCAATGAAGTGTATTTTAATTAAGACAATTAGAAAAATAAATACTTGAATAAATCATAAAAGAAAAGAAAATATTAAATAATTTTAATTGATGTGACTGTTCACCTCAGCTACCACATAAGATGGTATAGGGATGTGGTATACAAATATGGTAAGAGTAACATTATTTATACTATATATACAAGGACTTGGAATCCTGCAATTCTCAGAAAGCAAATCAAGATTTGCAGTTACCAGAAGTTCCAACAATTTATTTTATTCTAATATTTTAATTATTATTTTATTTTAATTTTTGTTATATTTAGTTATTTGTTTTCATTTCAATAATTTATATTTAAGGACCTGGAGTTCAAAAATCTCAAAACCCAAAGTTCTAATTATATCCAAACTATAAGTTTCGGCGACAT